GCGATATGAGTTTATATGTGTACCTCTTCAACATGAGTATACTAGGACGTGGGGCCTTTTTCTAGTTTTCAAATATCTAGGGCATTTTTTGTTTCCAAATATCTGGGGCATTTTTATTTTTCGATTATCTAGGGCATTTTTATCTTCCAATTATCTGGGGCATCTTTTTTATTTTCGTGATGAAATGGTGCATCTTTCCCGGTCAAGAAATGTGGACGTGGGCAGCGCTGGACAACCAATCTACATTGTGTTGCGTATACATGTAATTCCTGATGGCGCATTCACATAGGGGAACAAACGGATTAGGGACGATGATGTTGTTTGGTCATTTCGATAGGTTTTATCCGACCGGTGGTGTGATTTAGTCATGTCGTCGTGGGCTGACGTCAACGATCAAAGACAAGTAGCATCGAAAGACCGAGAAGCGGATTGACATGTGACGGTAATTAAGAGATGACGGCGGCGTGTCGCTGCATAGTTCAAAACGAGTCACGTGCCATTCCACCTGGAGCTGAAGCCTCTGTCAGCAGATGATGATCCCTACGTAGCTCACATGCTTACCATTTACCGTTCCTCGTTGTTTTGCATTTACTTGATGGCGGTGCTACTGCCACGCCGACCACGACCGCTATGAACAATAGCCATACAGCAAAAGGAATGAAACACAAGGAAGTTTGTCAAGCAATGATGAATCCTGTGTATTGACACTCCGCTATCGTCAGCTGCTGAATCCCCAAGGGTTGGCTAGCAGGCGGACTCGCGCAGCGTCAAGAGCTAGCCAAGGTGCTCTCATGCCCGTAATCATTTAAACTGAGGTGAAGGAGCTTTTTCTTTCGATCCGCAGTGACGATGGCAGCAGCTTTCAAAGTTGTCGAATGGCATCTGGTCGTAGCAATGGCCAGATGCGGCTCCGTCTCGTCCGTCGCATTCGTATCGGGTCTTGCTACAGACCAGGTTAGACGGATTGGGGGAGCACGCGTTGGCGCAGCACTGCTGAAATCCGGAGAGGGTTTTGTCCATCTTGTTGCAGTACAAGGACGCGCCTTCGTCGCTGCTGCCACATGCATAACCAGCCTTGGTGCAGGTATTGCCCGGCGGATTGAGGACAGGCGGGCACGTTTTGATGCAGCAACTATGAAAGTCGTCAATCGACTTCCCCGCGCGGCAAGCCTTGGACGCGCTTTGGTCACTGTCGCCGCATGGGACTTCGGCCGCGCTGCTGCAGAGGACAGCGGCATCGGGGCACTGCTTGAAGCAGCAGCGCTTGAACTCGAACATGGACTGCGGTTCCGTGTTCTTGTGGCACGAATCGGTTGCAGAGGTGTCCTGCTTGCCGCATGGAATAGAAGCCGAGCTGCAGAGAGTGCCCGGCGAAACGGACGGATAAATGCCAGGCCCACCACCAGCGTCTTCCATGGCAGTACTGGAGGCGACGGCAGCCATGAAAAGGACAAGGGAGGCTGGGACGTGCATCTTCGCTGGAGTGTCAGTGAGGTGTGGGTGGCGCGCTGTGCGGTGTGAGTGGCAAAACGCGGAATGACAGTGTTGACAGCACTGCTCGAGAATGAGGTGTGCTACTCCAGGGCAGTCGAGATACAAAGTCAGTTGGGAGGCTGCCGTGCAAACGCTACGTTAGAGGAGGAAGACACCGTTACAGCCGCACAGAACACTGCCAGTGCTAGGGGCGCAACCACAGGGCTCAGCCGGTTGTGATCGGCTTGCGGAATACCAGCTAGCTCTCCCCTACGGCAACACCACCAGAGATATATCGACGACAAAAAAGAGCGCACGCGCGTTGTCACGATCGAGCGACAGGATGGGACGCCTCGTCGAGCGATGGGAAATGTACTATCCTGTTGTCTGTATGCGAGAAGCAAAACACAGAGAGAAACAGGATACACAGAGAACAGTGAGTGACGCTCAGCTGGCTCGACCAGCCCTCATCGATCGGTCGGCTTCAGGATGTTATAACGCTTTGCATTATTTGTTGTCGTATCGCGCCGCTCTGATCAGCTAAGTACATGTACCACAATAAGATGTGCTACGGTTTACCATGTACGTTTTTAGACTTTATACCGACAAGCTACATCCGATCTGGAACTACGGGAGTTGAGTAGCTAGCTCGAGTTACATCTCAACGATCAAAATTTTGGTGGATACCTCATGCGTTTACTTGGGCGTATCGCATGATGAACTAGCAAGGAAATCGTATGGACTCGTCGTTGATGATGCTGGAAGAGCTCTTTCAATCTCGGTGTTCAAAATTTTAAGACGATACCACGCGACAAACGCACAACGAATGGAACCCTCATCGCAGTAGCATAGGATACTACTAACGTTCTGCAAGCAAAACAGGGATCATCTGGATGCCATCGGCTGCCTGAATCCCAGCCTGCTCTCCCCTACGGCAACACCAGAGGTACGTCTACACAGCAACCACAAAAAAGGACGTGCGTCGTCGCGGTCAAACGACAGAATGGGACGTCTTAACGGCCCACACAGCTGGAAATTTAGGTAAAACGTTCCTGTTAGCCCATTTTACTTTTACCAGAATTAAAACCATTTAAAACACATGCTGACTCAGTTTCGAGCGGACATTTTACTTCAGAAAATCTTGTACAGTCTGATAAGGATCTTGGAATGCGATAACGAGCCTTCGTTTTCATCAAAGGGCCTCAACCTCTCGTATATTTTAGTGGTTGTATTAGAAGGCGTCTCACCAAATGATGTTACCTTTATAGATTCAGACCACCCTTCTTTTTGGTGTGCTTGATTGTGATTCCGTCCCACTCAGCAGCTGCATGTTTGTCAACAGATTAACGAGCTTACTCCAGCATGTTGTAGACAGCTTCGAGAAACAAAAGGATACTTGAAGGACTATTTATTCTTAATTAAAGGGAGTTTGAGTACGTGGTGATGGTGCCCAAAATATAAAGACAGAGTAGCCTGATAGGGAAGCCTGCTCCGTAGCTCGCCCTTTGAGATTAGTAATCCAGTTTCGAGAACTGAATCAGGTTCCAAGAAACTAGACAACACTTGTCACAGAAGAATGAGCACGATGCTGTTGATGTTCGTTTCAACCCAGAGCAGTGTACTTGAGCAACATCAGCCTTTGCTTATGAGGGTCCAGCATTTGCTGATGTGATCACATTCATGTTTAATCGATGATATGCGAGTGACGTGCATGCATCACAATCGTGACCTCGTCAGAGAGTGACTTTGAATACACCGATTAACTCATGAGGAGAGCATAGGCTATCTCGCACTGAGTACGGGTAAGATACACCAAGCCGCGTTATTTATGGACAGACAAACACACACAGGTAAGTACGAATTTCGAATTCGGCATTCGCCTTGCTCATAGTCACTAATGCTTCACATTTCAGGCTCGCAATTGGAAGCTTCTGGACTATGAAGTCGACACCCGTGACGAGCTAGACCAACTGACAGTGCAGTATGGCTATGTCACCGCAATTGGCAACAGCAACAAAGGGTGGGGACCTTTAAGGAATATGACTTGATAGCAGTGAATGCAGTACCAGCAGATTCAGCACTTACAGCAGCGCGACACATCAACGATTTAGAGACATTCGTCCTGTACTTGATGCTAAAAATACCCTCTTGATGTTCAATCGTTAATGTAGGTGTATCGAAGTGGTTCACTCCTCATTAAATCCTCTCTCTGCAACACCCATACTTCCAAGTGCTTGTCATGTTTCACTCGAGGGTACGTCATTTATTGTTCTGGAAGGTTCTAAAAATCCCGATCTAAATTATAGTGATATAATCAATCAATTTTAAAAAGATGCTTGAAAGTGGAAAAGAAAGTGGTGACACATAAGGGAAGGACTTTCCCCTCCATTTTCCCAATTGCTTCCTCGAAATTCACCCCATACCAGATTACCCCAGCCACCCACATTAAGTCCAACACCTCAATGGGTACCAAGCGCTAATCAGTCTCCCTAGCTACCAAAAGCATCATCTGTGAGAATCAGGAACATCAGTTAGCAGCCACTTCAAGAAGTTACAGATGCGGTATGGATTATCCAGCAAAGAAACCGTAACCGTCCATCTTGCGTCAGAAAGACAAGAACATTGAAGCTTTATGCAGGCAGAATCGTCTCAGGCGGGTTTCCGTAAAAGGTTGCGCGACTGTAAACATCCTAAGGTACCGTACATGTCCACTTCTGCGTTGTCACATTTTGAACATGCGATCGACAGGTTATACAAAAATCAACCGTGCAAATCAGCAAATTTTTTAGGCTTTGCTTCACGCAAGCCACAAAGAACCACGTTGTTACGACAGACGCTCTTATCGTTGGCAAGGCCCTTCAGTTTGCCTGGTCTTTGAGCCTCAACGATCGGGATAAGGCGGGCTTTGCCGCTTCCGACGGGTGGCTTTCACGGTCAAAGCAACGTCACGGCACTTATTCAAACCAGCTGTATGGGGATACGGAAAATGTAACGGGGAGCTCATTATTTGGGTTGCCACGAAACTTCGCGTACACTAGTACATACAGAGGAAGCTAATCTACTCAACAGCTGGTTTCAGTAAAGGGTAAAAAGAGAGAAGTGTAATATAGATAATTAAGCTATCGATAAAACTTCAGTCTTTATTTAACTAAATAAAACTACATTGTCGTATGCTGACAACCTGCTCACCACTCATTACGCGCATCTAGCAGCGAATGGAGGTAATCTATGGTTGATATGTCTTTTATCAACCAATCTTTGAGCAGCGCAAGAATATTGAAGATAAAATTCCTTCAATATGATCCATCTCGGATAATATTGGTAGGGAATTGTCATGCCAGACAAATTTCCTATTGACACTGTTTGGTTTCAATATCATGTAACGGGCTAATCCGTTACATCACCCCCCTTAACCATCAATCACCCGTTGATTAAATAAAATTGATTGGGACAGGGTGACCTCCTTTGGATCACTCTGGGAAAGGGAGCACTTGTTGGTCCAATCCCATTCATTTCCAATCCAACGCATGGTTTCGAAACCCGTGCGAGTTGCTACTGCAGCAGCAAGTAAGGCGGCTGCACGCATGCGTGCGGCCGCGGAAAGTGCCTCTGACACCTCAACAGCAAGTGATTCGTCGCCTGTTCTTGTTAATCGTCCACGTGGTGAGTCACCACGTGCGACAGGTACATCCGCTGCGTCTGCAGCGGGTGTTGCGAATCGTAATATAGATGATTCTGAAATAGACCTCATCTATTCTGGCGAGTCTGATGATGTATCCGACTCGAAGGCGGCGCTTCCCGCCTCGGGATCGTCCGAGGCGGACACTGCAAGAGCCAAGTTGACTGGCTCTGGGGAACGTGGCAGCATCACGTCCGAGATCTTCTGATCAAGCGATTGTTCCGACGAATCCTCGCCTCACGCAAGTCCACCCAACGATAGGACGCGTGGTGATGGTGGTGATGATGACGCACCTACGTGTCACCACGAGAGAAGCATCTCGAGGGATATCGATGCTAGTGATGTCAGTGCTCATGCTGACCTCACTCAAGAAACCATGGACCGTAATGTCCTGCGCCTTGCTCCTCAAGTGGAGTCTCCTTGGATACCGTCATCCAAAGAGTTGGACCGGTTGGCCGGCATGACTATTGATCGGGATAGAAACCCGTTGTTCTATGTAGGAATATCTGTCCTCCTAATTCCAGCACGTAAAATATCCGTGCTGAGAAAGAGTTCTTCACCAATGCATTTTCAAACATCGGTGGTACAACGGCAGCCGTGGTCGAGACAGTAAGGTCTTGGTACAAGGATGGAACGACTTAATCCATTACATCGAGTGCATTGGCCGTGAGGCCTGGCTTGGTAGAATTGATACAGCTCGCATCAGGTTTGAGAAGCGTAACTCAGTCAGTGTACTGTACAAGTTGCACCGACTGTCAGGAGAGGCAGGTTTACCCTATCTCTCGAGGAGTGATTCGTGTCCAGGTTGCCTGGACAACTCGAACCGTGTCTTAAGAGAGACCTCCCTCCCTAGTATTCCCTACTGGATGGCGTGCATTTCTCGTCTGAGATGGCCGAAGGGATCGACACTTTGCAATCCTGTACTCGCGTTCGGGGAGGTCGTTTTACGACGGTCCTTCCTCGAATGCAGCGGGTGGGTCTCGTCATTTTGCTCGACGAGACCCGGAACATCAACGATCAGCTGAGCGCGAGGCTCCCTGCTGTCCCCGGACGGTGGATAGTTACGTCAGAGGACGAGGTAACTCATCCGGACGCCATTCACGTCGCGATGGTTCAAGATACGCTCCACCAGAAAGCGGTGACCACCGCCAGAATTCACTAATCGATGTGGTGGTGGCGGAAACACCTGATCCAGCTCGAGGTTCGGATCAGCTTGATGTTCAGAAACTAATCCGTGTAACGGAACAGTTACAAGGCGACCTGGCTCATGAATGCATTCGGCGTTACGATCTCCATGATCTTGTAAAGGATACTTACCATTTCTTAGCGCGCGATCGTTCGAACAATTGTGCCGCGTTTGTGCTTGCGCAACTTCAGAAAGAACGTTCGATTCATTCTCTTCGTGAAGAGCTAACTGCACCTCATCAGGACATCGCTGAACTGCGTGAGCAGGTCACTTCGCTAGTCGACCAGACTGGCTCGTTGAAACGAGACCACTCGAAGGTGGTCTCGGATATCGACCGCGGAGGTGTTCTTCGCATCTCGAAACGGGCTCGTACTGATAGCATGGGCGGAGACGTCCAAAGTAAGACTTAGGATGCGTACGCATCTTACGGGGCACTTCAATTGTGTAATGCGTTGCCCATACGGCGCAACAAGAAATGGACCGATATACTTGGGCAGTAACTTACTGCTGCCCACGTTTGTCACTGCGTGTTTTGGTAGAATTACTGTAGACAGTAAACTAGGTTTCCTACATCAAATGAAAGAACATTTGCTCTTCCATGTTTGTCTGTGTTTCTTTTCTGTCTGTCTAGTGCATCTGCAATAGAGTCTTGAACGAAGCGGACAACCGCTTCGAGAGTCAGCAGAAATTCCTCTGATGACTCATCCTTGTCAAGAGCAGTGCGCTTCGTGTGCACTGCTGAAAGAACGTTGTCTTCACCAGTGAGGGCGTCACCTTCCTCACTGTAGCGGTCATTGGCGATGCTGAATATACCAGCATCGTCGTCATCATCATCATCGATGTCGATCGCATCGACATCGGCATCCATCACGTCGACACCATTGCTTACGTGTTATGAGCAAGAACTAGCTCGTGTTATGTTCGAGTGATTCCACCTTTCTTAAAAGAAGAGTTACATACTAAGAAAGCGGGCAAACGAGGATAGAGTAGGCCTCTCACGAAGAACGGTGTATGCGTTGTCGACGCATGCACCGAGTTGTTGATGGCGAATTCCGACATCGGCAAGAACTCACTCCTACTAGCAAACGAGTGGACTTACCCTCTAAGTATCTCTTCGAGGACGCATTAGACGCGTTCCGTCTGACCATCTGTTTTGGGATGGTCAGAAGTTGACATCTTCAAACCTGTTTCAATTGAACGGACCACGGATTGCCAGAACTCCGCTGTGAAGCGGGGGTTCCTATCAGACTATAGTTCACAGTGTAACCCTTGAAGTCGGAAGATAGTGTCGATGAAGACACGGGCACAGCCTGGGCTGTAATTGACTACATTACAGTAACAAGATGTATCATCTTGATGAACCTGTTAACAAACACAAGAATACTGGTATTCTTGTGAACGTCTTTGTGAAACCCAAAGACGAAGTCTATCGATACGGACTGCCAGCACTCTGTCGGAATCGGCAGAGGCTGCAAGGGTGCACGGGATGAAGAATTAGGATCACCCGTTGGCAAACTTTGCAAGCGCGAATGTGTTTGCGAACAAACTCATACTGGCGGGGCCAGTAGAAGTCACGACTTACTGTGGGGTCAGTCTTTTCTCTACCGCGATGCCCACTTGTTGGGGGCATCGTGACACTCATACAGGATGCGCAATCGCAAATCATCTTGAGCGGGAACGGAGACACGAGGTGTGTCGCCGTTGACTGCTGCATAGTACAGCATTCCATCACGAACAGAATACCGTTCGGTTGAAGAGCGGTATTGAGACGTCAAACTTTTTAAAACATGACCGCATAAAGCAGACGCGAAATCTATAATTCGCAGAAAAGAATCATCTTCTGCGTATGCTTTTCGCACATCGTCGAGCAGATTCGACGACGGAACACTCAATGATAGTGTTGCAACAGTGGGACCACCCTCACTGTTGGGTGGAGTAGTCGGCTCCAAATCTGGCCGACGCAAAAGAATATCAGCAAAGACATCAAGCCGTCCTGGTTTACACTCGACGGAGAAGTTGTACTCCGCGAAGAAAGACACCCACCTCGCCATTCGTCGCGAGAGGTGTGGACTGTTTACGGTCGTGCGTAATGACGCATGGTCGGTATAAACGATAATGGTCTATCTCCTAAGAGATAAACCCGAAACTAAGTCAGTGCATTTTTCGTGGCAAGGAGCTCCTTGTCATGCACTGGATAGTCAGGCTCAGCTGCTTGCAGCTGACGCGATTGATATCGTACGACGCGCTCAACGCCGTCTGAGTCGTACTGCATTAGCGCGCAGCCGATTGCAAAATGGCTGGCGTCACAGACCACACGGAATGGTCTTTACTGGTCTGCATTCGCCAACACAGGCGGTTGATCCAAGCTTTGCTTGATACTTTCAAATGAGTGCTGACACTCAGCGCTCCATGACCACCTCTCGTTTTTCTTTAGTAGACGAGAGCGATGTACGGTCATCTCGGCGTACTTGCGCGAGCTCTTGTGAAAGTACGTCGCTTAGCCAAGGAATTTTCGAAGTCCATTGACGTCACTGGCACAGGCCAGTCGCTGATCGCCTTGATCTATTCCGGATCAGAAAGTACGCCGTTTTTACCCACGACGCAGCCAAGAATAGGTATTTCGTTCTCTGCGATTACACACTACTTGAGGCTCGCTAACAACTTATGCTCTCGCATAAGTGTAAGAACCTTCCGGACGTGGATTCGATGAACCTTCACGTCCGTCTTTCCATCCATGGCCCGGCCATGGACGAAGACATCGTCCAAGTAAATCGGTGCAAAATCTCACACCGATCGCAACAGATTTGTAACACATCTTATAAACGTTGCAGGGGCGTTGCATAGCACCTGTGGCATCACTAGCCACTCCCAGAGCATACCACTGGGGTGCTCACTGATGTGTAAAGGGGTATCTCGTTCGCGCATGAGGATCTGATAGAATCCATACATTAGATCCATGGACGAAAAGATGGTGCTTGTTGCCACACCATCAATGATGACTTCCTCACTCGGTAGCGGCATTTGAGCCGGTACCGTTGCAGCGGTTAATAAATTGAACGCGTGCACTACCCTCCACCCTCCTATGGTTTTTCAAACACAGAAGTTCAAAGAGCTGTGTGGGGATGTTGATTTCCCTCACATGACCAGCCGCTAAACGATCGGCAAAGAATTTGTCGAACGCTGTGATCTGTTCACGGGGCATTGGCCACTGCTTCATGACACAGTACCTCGAATCGGATTTTAGTTCGATCTCATGCCGAGTGCCTTTGTCCTTAGGCAGCTCGCATGGCACGCATTCAAGTAAAACATCCCTAAATTACACCAAATTCTTATACAAAGGATTTGTCTTCAGAAACTCCCATGATTGGGACGTGTACCGCTCAATCCGGGTTTTCTCATTGAGGACAATCTCGTCCACCGATGAGCTACTGAGAACCCGTTTATTCTCAGCAAACACTCGTGCCGACCTGGTATCGGCGACGTCCTTGTCCTCTGTGACGAGTACGCAGATCTGCTTGATCTTGACACTACGCAGATCTCGCAAGAGCCTTTTAGATTCTAGCGTTGGCAACTTGATTACCTTCGAATTTGACTTTGGGGGCGTCACCAGATCAAGTGTATAAGCGCCTCCACTTGATCCGTCATTCACCAAGACATTCACTGTCACGGTAATTTCCTGGGAAAACACATCCGCAGTTGGTTGGGAATCCACACCCTCGACGTGACTCTTTCGGGAGTTATTGCTCTCAGGAACGCTAGAACTTTCTTCCAATATGTGTACTGACTGTGGGTTTACTCCACATTCATGTCCTCTTCGTTCGATTGTCTTTCAGTCGATCGTGTTTGCTTTACGATCGACTCTATGTTTGTCGATCTCGCTTCAGCATGTTGTTCATCTTGAACAACACTAATTTCTCTTCTTGGATGCACCCTTCTTGATGTGCATCCGTGTTTCAGTCCACTCGATCTCTTCAAGTGGTGAACCTTCGGCGCAGCCTGTGTCTCTACACAGGTGCCGGAAG